GCTCTGGAGAGGGCCATTAGCCAGACTAAGTACAGCGAGCCGCGGATAAGTAGGCACATGCACACACACGCATACACACAGAGCGCGGGCCCGTCAATGCACTCGCAACGGCAAGACACAAGTCACACAGGCTAAACGCCTCACCACGGTCGAGTTGCTCTGCCCCGCGCGTAGCGTTCATAGACAAGAGGCCCAAGCGCCGAACAGCGAAACTAAAACTAAGACGTCGCGGCGGGACAGAGGCTAGCAGAGGGCACGGGCAATCCAGATGGAGAGGCGGCACAGGACTGAGGCCAAAATTTGACGCAAATATCTCAGCAAATACTGCCACATGTATGTTGGTTTTATGGAAGACTAAGCGAGCACTCTTCGGCCCGCAAAAGACCGATCGCTTTATGAGCGGGTCCATCATAAACTGTGCAAACAGTCTGCACAAACTTCATGTTGGAAATTGGGTCTGTTCCATTCGTAGACAATTGGACAATGCGTAGATACACACGCTCATGTCATACGTACTCAGACTAGCTTATTCAGGTAGATCTGCCTACTTTGCGGCCCATTCTGCAGAATGGCTGAGTAAGCAAGGACGTACATGTACATGTACATGACAGAATGTACCATTAATTTTATTGAAACAAAGCAAAATGGTGGCACCTATGTACAGGGGATGGCCCACACCTGGTATAAAGTAAACGTAAAAGAGGAAAAAAAGTTGTACAGTGAAATGAGGCTCAAAGTCACAGCCAGCACACGGGATCGCCGTGGCAAACAAAGAGAGAGAAGAAGGAAAAGAACATATGACTGTATACAATGTACCAGTGTCCATGACAACTCTATAATACAAGTCAGTTCGCATGTCACTCATGGAAGAATCCATGGGCTTAACGAATCTGTCAATGAAATCCAGGCAGAAGAGCCAACAAAAGCCATCTCAATCTTGTTAGAACGCGTCGCAGTAAGAACAACTACGCAAGCGTGCCACATTTTCCACAACCGTCAGCCGTTTGTTCTTGTCTAGAACTTACAAAGCCTCGTAAAAATAGACAGTGGGGGCCCCTTTCTGCACGAATGTATTCGTGCATTTCCTTGTAAAATTAAGCCGTCCTCCACTCATAGTCATAGTCATACGCCACAACTCAGAACAAGAGAGGCTTCATAATACTCGTACACATTAAAATCACAAAATTCTGCAAAGAAATCACCATGCTGATTTGCTGCCCGTACGTTTCCCTGCACAAGTAACTTTCAAACACGCTCACGCAGACCGACAGGTATCCGTATCAGCCTTTCTGACACTACTGCTACAGGTACGCTTGTGTTATTATCCGTACAATATGCCGAGACATGGAAGCGTCGGGAATTCCCCGCTTTGACTCTTTCACCTTACTTATACAGTACGATCATGTAGTTGGACCGCCCAATACCAGAACTCCAATCTCCTGTGTACAAGTAAATAAATGTCGCACCTCACTGTTTCATGAAATCTTCTGATCTCAAGACCCGACCCGGTGCTAATCATTATGCTTCTACTCATGTGTCAGTCGGGGCGCTAAATAGTTTGTCGGTGGCAATTTGAGGTGCTGCTGGGCAGTTGTCATTCGTGATGTGTTGCATACACTACAGATGCAAACGTATTGCCAACTGCAAACAATAGGTCTGCATGAATGATTTCAACACGGAACATATTTCACAGGATGCAACTCTGATAATTGATTGGTTGTCGGGCAACTAGGACGTCGGGCTTTGGATACCTGCTTCTAACTTGAGAGGATATGTAACGAGTTGAACATTGCCAACTAGGTTTACCTAACTGGCGTACAAATGAAATCAGTCAGCACAATAAGTATACAACTACACTGATATAATTATCAATGGGTACCCAGCCAATTGTGGCAAGGTTTTTGACAAAGGAAACGCTCCTTTCTAGAGTGAGAGAGAGGAAGAGCTTTTGATCGAGAGAGATATAAACAAAGAGAGAAGACGATGAGAGAGGGAAAGAATGAGAGGTAGGTCGAGAGAGACAGGCAGAGAGAGAAAAGAAGGAGAACGCGAGGGAGAGTGAGACTCAGAGAGAGAGTGAGTGTGTGAGAGAGAGAGAGGAAGAGAGAGAGAGAGAGAGAGAGAGAGAGAGAGAGAGAGAGAGAGAGAGAGAGAGAGAGAGAGAGAGAGAGAGAGAGAGAGAGAGTGAGTGAGCGAGTGAGTGAGAGAGAGAGAGATTCAGAGAGATTCAGAGACAAAGAGAGAGACACAGAGAGATATAGGGAGAGAGAGAGAGAGAGAAAGAGAGAGAGAGAGAGAGAGAGAGAGAGAAAGAGAGAGAGAGAAAGAGATACCATGGGAAAGAGGTATAGAAGGAGGGAAGTTAAGAGGGATTTGCGCGTAGCCGTGCAGTTGCTGCCAAACAAGGTCCGCTGGATCAATAAGGTGCTACGCTTCAAATTGGTATAATATTTGTCACCCTGAGGAAAGGTGGAGCGTGTAGGCGAGATAGAGGGAGGAAAGGGTGAGAGTGACTGCGCCTACAAACTCATTATGACAGGTTAAAGGCATGGTGGCGGGAGGTAAAGGCCGGCCTATTCTATGACGTGCATTGTAACAGTGGACAGTGACGTCAAACCAATCTAGGGCATCATCTTCATAGAAACTAAGATGATGGCCCTTCGGCGGTGATGGGGGGAAGGGACGTTGCTAGTAACGTTCCTTCGGCGGTGATGGGGGAAAGGGACGTTGCTCGTAACGTTGGAATTCGCGCCTCCTGCCTACTGAAGTTTTTATTGAGCAGGTCGTGGTGCTTTCTTTCAGGTTTGGCCAGTGGCAGGTTTGACGTGTTTCTGGTGCGCTCCAAACGACACTCCTGAGTCAGTCAAATGTCAAGTCAGACAGCGAAACAGCGAGCTCCAGCGTTCCATCCTGCATGGCACATGATTTATGTAACGTAGTTCTCCACATTCTTGTGACGTGATCTTCAGTTGAGTTTGCCACATGCTTGTGACATGATCTTCAGTTGAGTTTGCCACATGCTTGTGACATGATCTTCAGTTGAGTTTGCCACATGCTTGTGACAATGATCTTCAGTTGAGTTTGCCACATGCTTGTGACATGATCTTCAGTTGAGTTTGCCACATGCTTGTGACATGATCTTCAGTTGAGTTTCTCTTATACATTCTAATTATACAGATAGTATTTTCCTTCATCAAAAGAATTCTTGTTTATTTTGCCCGTAGAAGAGGCTTTTGAGTTTCTACAAAACAAAACAAAAACCAAAAAGCTCCCGTGTTCCCAGCAGTCATCTACTTCCTCTTTCAGGAACAGCACGCTGTTTCTCTACTTTGATAGTACATGTACAAATGTACTTCGAAGTATACATAACTCTTGGTCATGTGGCTAGTCCTAGAACCCCATCAGCAGTGCACGAGCGTTTCTATGTAGGGTAACGAAAAACATAATTTTCAGTTTTCAAAGAGTAAAGGAGTAAAATACATGTTCACCCGTCGTACGCGTTACCATCTACTATCCAGTATCAAACAGTAAGAGGACAGAAAAGTGTCCTCTTATTGTTTGAACTAGCTCTGCCTGTCGGCATTGAGCACTCTCTTGGACAGCCTGCAACCTCTCTGTTTTACTATCCAGTATTTTATTTTCCACACCTGTGTGCTATTTTCTTCCCATCATACCCTTGTTTCTCATCATGGTGTGTTGCTTTTGCCCGTAAAAGAGGCTGTTGTCTGCTCAGGTGAATTGACCATGACTAATGACTAATTTCTTTCATCACACGTTGTATATTTTGAAAGAGGCTTCTGTTCACTACAGCTACATGTGCATGCATGCAGTGTTCTATTATTCAAACATATCCGCCGGATGAGTACGCGTGGCCCAGGCACCATGGGTACCCACGAATACAAACCAGCATATGAACCAGCATACAGTTCTATGGAGAAACGTAAAGTAGAGAACTCTAGGAATGCGGTGCCGCGCTCCCGCTAATAATCTCCTAGGGAGACATGACAATGACTCTAGAGATACGGCCGTCATACGTATCTTGCAGCTACTGTTCGTTTACGATCTGTAGCACAACGTTCGGGGTACCATAAAGAAACGACAACCGATGGAGATGTAGCTACAAATGTCATGTAGACGCGGCAGCAACCAGCCCGAGATCCGGCAGGTCAGTGTTGCCAGGACAGGAGCACTATGCGACTTCACAAGAGCAGTCGGGACCAGGCTATAGCCAGGAGCGCAACAGTGCTCCTAGCTCTTGTTTTCAACTCGTAGCACCGCCTTACTTTACAAATGCATGCGGCAAAAGAGAATTAGATGATTGTGCAGTTCTAAGACACCCAGAAACATGGTCAGTAGTCGATGACGCTACCCGCACCTTTACAGGACAAACATTATACCCGGGATTCATGCCCTTTTTTCGTTTTCACTGATTTCTAAGGAAGCACTCTTCAATATCGTGTATTCGCCACAGTTTTCTCAAAGACCAAGGGGAAACTCAGTGAGTTTGTCAACCTACACTGCAATGCCTGGTGGCCAACTGCAGTTAGCACTCTTGGAACATTGATAAGGATTTTAGACGTCTGAAGTCCGTCATATCGCATACTAGTACACGCATGAAGACAAACTCACCTTTGAGAACGTCTTTCGTCCACTAATACTGCTAAGGTAGCGCGCTGGCAGGCTAGCGCTACCATCCATATTGCTTCGTCTTGAGGCAGTGTCGTCGTCGTCACAAGCAGCACCTCCTATCTGGCCACAGTCCAGCAGGGATTCGTACTGGTTAAGAACCTCGTTGGTGCCGTATATCAAGTCGTCTTCCAGAGTGCTACAGGAGTCGACATGCGACTCGTCCAACTCGTGCACTTGTAGTTCGCTGAATGGAACGCAGCGACGCACCGCATCGTCCCAAGATATAAGCACCTCACGACCCACGCTGGACATGAAGCCACAACATAAATATTCCAGCAATTAAACGTCAGTTGGGAAGCCCTGGTGGTGAGCTTAACCCCAAGGATGAATTTATTCTTCTGTCCCCTCTCACTTCGGAACTCAATCAGGACAATTGTGCCCTGTGCGCGAGGTTTTCATGTCAAAATCAATGACTATCGGAAGTTGTTCAGTGAGGTTTAAACACGGTTCGTTTCGTTTTCCTTTTATTGGCTTTGCCTGCATTGCTGGCTTATCCTCACGCCCTGGGATAACAGATGATGAATTGCTGGTGGCCTTTATTTGATTGAATCATCTGTTTTTGAACTTCAACAGCTTGCTGTTCGCAGTTTACGGTTCTGCAAAGTACACTACTTCCAGAGGTCTCTCTCACACACTGTGGAGCAAGAGAATTAACCACGTCAAATATTCACATACAGTGCAGCATCTTCAGGCCAGTGTTGTGGGCGTACATGGACAATGCACGCTAGAGGTTCTTGTACATAATCATTGTATGCTGGGGTGTTTGCATGAGACTTAATGCATGTTCATTCCATCCAATGACGTTTTCTGTGCAGACTTTTGCCCACGTCGCTAGAACCCTCAAGGGTTGTGTTCTCCTGTCTCCCTCACCAAATCTCCCTCATTATGTGAGGGGTTGTCTCATTGAGCTAGTAATGTCAACCCATTAGTGCCATTGCATAACTATGATGTTTGTATTTGAAATCAAGGCCAGTCTAGACAGCCAGTACCAGTGCTCGGAGCAGCAGAAAGATACTCCGAACGCAAAGAAAAAATATCATGCCTATGGTAATTGCATTCTTTCATAAGACTAAGAGGCTTTCAAGGCAGTGCCTCTCAGAACCAGGCGATAGAAACTTATTCATGCACAGATGTGCAATTCATTTAAACCCAAATGTATATGCACCGCGGTCGTCAAGGTTACATGTACATACTATTACATACGTCGGTTCACTGGAGTTTTCATCGTACTCCGTATATGGAGGTGGTGCGTCTTGAGTACTTTCGGAATCGTTTTCACGTTCTCTGAGCTGATCTGTCTCCACCGGCTGCTTGTCGACTTTTTTGGAACGCTTCTTTTTCGTGTCTGATGAATTTCTCTCCCGCAATTGCTTCTTGGATGCTGCTTTGGGTGTTTCGGGATCAAAGGCTTCATCTTCGAGAATCTTTGGTCTCCGTTTCACGGACAGGCCCTGGAAATAGGAAAAACAATGACATCGTCAGAATACTGATCTCTCTGTTGGAATTCAATTCCCTATTTCTCTAACTGTAGAATTTTTTCACAAACTGCTCCATTTCGCGACTATTCAAATATTACTGAATTCGCTTATTCAAATATTACTGAATTCGCTTATTCAAATATTACTGAATTCGCTTATTCAAATATTACTGAATTCGCTTATTCAAATATTACTGAATTCGCTTATTCAAATATTACTGAATTCGCTTATTCAAATATTACTGAATTCGCTTATTCAAATATTACTGAATTCGCTTATTCAAATATTACTGAATTCGCTTATTCAAATATTACTGAATTCGCTTATTCAAATATTACTGAATTCGCTTATTCAAATATTACTGAATTCGCTTATTCAAATATTACTGAATTCGCTTATTCAAATATTACTGAATTCGCTTATTCAAATATTACTGAATTCGCTTATTCAAATATTACTGAATTCGCTACTACTATTTTTTGAGATTGAAAACTACTACTGTAATAATATTCGGCTGTAAACTCAAGATGGACAATTCAGTTTGCTTGCTCCTAGCCATCCACCATGGTGTTGAAGATAGTATCAATATACTAGGTCCATGCACGGTGACGTAGGAGATATCAATAGAGTAGGTCCATCCACCGTGGTGTACATGATATGAGCTGCGGTAAGTCTGCCATCCACCGTGTCTTGTAATCATCTTGCTTTTGTGCTGCTTGGCATCATATGGTGCATGGCAGTTGTAGTGAGCTAGAAGGATCACTTAGCAGATTTACAAAGAGGCTGCAGGATCTCAGTACCACAGTCTGTATGTAACCACTACTCTAGTACTCGCCTCCCATTTCTTTATGAAACTGAGTCCGTGTATTTATCCTTGTGGATAGTGGTGTGTTGCGGATACGAAAAACAAAGTCTGACTCGAGATGTGGGAATGAGATTTATACAATTATACTTTAAGGCAGTATATCTCAGATGTGATCAGTGACTAGTCAGTGTGAAGGAGAGGTTACCCGCACAGTGGTGGTCACTTCAGCTGTGAAGTTTGAGAATTGCCCAAGCACACATTGCTGGACGTCTTCCTACCAAGGGCGCGGACCAGTCACCAGCACCTTCTTGAAACACAATATGGAGGAATTGGTTCATAAGGTAGCCGCTGACCAGCTGCTCCGTTTGTGCCAAGAATGGCTATCTTTTGATGAGAACACTTTGTAGCTGCAAAACATTATCCATGGAGTAGGCACATCGGTAGATATGTACGGTTCTGGACATATAAATTCGACCTCATGGGAAACGTTGCTTCGGGTTCGAGTGCAATGAATGGGGCGAGTTGTACAAGGCCGCATTTTATTCCTGGGGTTGAAGTTAAAATACTCTGATCAGGAGTTTACATTTTCGAAGGTGAAGGGATACTAAAACGGTGTGAATCGGTTGTATCATGCGAATGAACTAATCACACCCACGAAGTGTTGATACGCTGCCAGACTAGAAACTTAGCTGCGCACAACACAGCAAGAGAGGAGGTGTAAAGCATATCCAGACTCACTTCTGAGACCCAGCCAGAGTGATAGCAACCTCACGCCATGAAGTCGCAGAAAAACCCTTGCTACAGATAGGGACCAGAAAAGGTGTTGTGGCTGAAGCCATAGCCACTCCCATATGGGCCCAGCATTTCTTATCGGGGAAACTTTCTAGTCAAGGTTTCACCGCGTGGCGGGGATTTAATCCCTCACAGACGGCTAAGCAGGATAGTCGCTGGTCATGCAGTGGGACTCTCGTTTCTCGCGAGATGTGCAAACTGCAAGTCAATCAAGTGTATTTCCACGCCAGCTGTAGATAACTCCTGTGCTAGCCAGACAAGTCAACTTATGCTACATTTCCATGTCTGTTTCAGCTATCGGCTGCTGATACGTGTATGTGTAGCTTCCAGTGTTTAGCAATAGGCTGCTTTTTCAAGTGGCATCAAACTACATTACGCATCATTCGTTTGTAAGTAGCAAGCCGCGCTGCCACAGTTCACGTTTACAATCGTATTTCAGGAAAGGGTAGCTAGTCTCATCACCCGGGATGGCCGTGTTTATGCAGGTGGCCTAGCAAGGCAATCGGATGTATGACAGGTGGCAAGGGAATGTATCCCACTGCAGCTCTCCAGTTCTACTTGAAATTCGATGCTCGCTTCCAGCGTAACTCAGTTGCTGGTGTGTAGTCGTGCAACGGAGCATTGATATGTCGTGGGGAAGCGTATTCCCCCTTTCAATGTGACACGTGAGATTTCTATTTTGTCTCAACCGATCGATTAAGGAGAGGTCAAAGCTGGGGGGGGGGGGTAACACGATTATTATCGTTACTGCATACTACATCTCATACAGTGTGCATGCACATACACTGTACATAAGACACCCTGCCCTGAAGCGGGAGACGACATGACCGTCGATGCCCGTGCACCACGCAGTGTGCCCTAGGCGGTCCATGCGATAATGTTGCGTGCAACAGTCGATACTGAATCACACTCGGAAAGAGGTCTATTCATTGACAACGGGGAGCTGTTGGAGGAGGAAGTGGAAATGAATTTATTAATCTATCGGTCACATTTTCTTAAACTCAGGAATCGCCATTTCAACTTTTTGCCGATAGATTTTATTTTATATGTATATGTAGTGTGGTGTAGCCAGATTGGCACACGGTTCACATGGACTATATTCTCGCAAGCAGCACCAATCATTCTAGCGATACCCTCAGCACAGGGCACTGCACAGGAACGGTGCACAACAACATGCAGCTACATCATTGCATTCTCAGATGAGTACATTTTGGAACCGGCAAAGCACTCGATGCACATCGTGCAGCACGTTTTCAAACGAGAACGAGAAATAAAAGAGGGCCAGTTGGGATTCGTCGTAACTTATTGCATTTACATTTACACCTTGCGAAAGAATAATGAATATCGTCCCATTGTCCAACATTGTCCTACTTCACGTTAGGACTGGGCAAGTGATCACCTTGGATACTGTCATAGTGGTGTCTGGATAGAGGCCGTCGCTGACACACACACACACACGCACACGCACACACTCTCTCTCTCTCACCACGTTTATTATTATGTATATAATGCAGTCAATTATTCAGCGCGAACGGCGCACTGTCATCATCACGGTCGTATAATAATTATGATCTATTGATTCTCATGCACTATGGCTGGGTGTACGTGACGTGGCGTGCCTATCGTTTATAGCCACACCTTAAGCCTAGTGTAGTCTCTCCCCTCAGACATTCAATGCCAACTTAGGGCTACAGCAGGTGCATTGGTATCGCTGCTCTGGATTTTTGTTGTGGCTCTGCAGTATGTATTTTGCCCAGTGATTGATGATATTTCACTGTATGATGCAGACCCTGTGTGGAATATCAGAGAACAAAGACCTTTTTTCGTTCCGCTCCCTGTCTAGTATTTTCACAGTATACAACGTACACGTGTGCGCGGCTTACCTTGATGGAAAATGTTCTCCTCTTCATCGTTGCTTCACTCGCGGTTATCCCGGATCGACGAGCTACAGCTTTTCCGTGAAAACCTCAGACCTGTTTTCAAGTGGCTGCCTCTCAAAGAAAGAGGAAACTGCAATGCTCTACACGTACACGATACAACACGACTACTACTCAAGTCGAGTTCACCACGGTATGAAGAAAACCAGGACCTTCTGGAGAGCAGTGGCCACCCGAGACCCTCAAGTAGACCTACAAGTTCGCATTGTGTAGCATTGTGTAGCAAGGATGTCGCCTAGGCGTGCATTCTTGCTTGGAATGTGAGCTGGCGACCTGATCGGCTCTCCAGTGAGACAGCCACTAGCCACACTGGTGAGCCTATCGCCCAGGGAGCAACCTTCTCTGTCCCCATTTTCCATTCATCGCTACCAAGCTAGGGTTGATCAAGGAGGAGGTAGGCGTGTGGTATTTTATCATGTCACAGACGCCTCAGCCCAGAGCGGCATTAGTGACAGCCTCGTGTTCCCATTTGCACTGCTGTACTGCAAAGTGCCAGAGGTGCAAGAGTCTACATGCTGTGACGTCACTCTACAAGAGTTCACGGCCACACATCTTGTCCCTGGCTAGTGATGAAGTGATGAAGTTGTACTTCAGGCACGAAGCGTTAAGGTACGTTGCTTGCGTGACAGGCTTCTACTCAGCGGAGGCCTCATCCGCTTGTAGCTATGTTCCAATGTGGAGTTCGATGATGCCTGAGCGAGGCCACTCATGCATAGAAAGGCAGCTTCATAACCAGGCATGCCTGCATGTGTGCTGCCTGAATGTTGTGCTCGCATTGAAGGAGGAGGGGGGGGGCGACCATTGGTCAATGAGGCACGTCGCTGACAAATCAGCTCTTCGGCAGGCGCTCAGCTCGCTTGTCACTCTACACAACAGCAAGTGTCTGATATCCATGCCAGGAAGCAGCTAGCCACAAATTCGATTGACATACAAAACGCTTGGCGCTTGCTCTGAGGTATATACAGATCTGCTTTTGTCTGCAGTATCCCATAAGGTTCTCAAACAAACCATGATACTCCGTAAATAACTACGTAGGCTTTATCCAATTATTCCTATGAATGTCCAAAGTGACATTTGTGTCAAACTCGAATCAACGACCTAACAATGTCCTTCCAGCCCATGTGCATCGTGGGGGTATTCAGCAGGGTTCTCACCAAAGCGACACAGCGGGGCGCTGCAACCTCCTTCACTTTTTGACCCCCCCCCCCCCCCGTTCAAAATGAACGCGCAACTCTTCAGTTCAGAGTGTGAGCATTGTATGAGACGTTTCGTTATAAATGTACATGTATGAACAACACAGACTAACTCTGAACACCAGATTCGTGTCGGGTTGCAGTGACCGGTGAATTAATACATGGAATGGAAGTTGGTCAGTTTCTTACTGGTGTCGTTGAAAGATTAAGTACCGGCCGAAATGGCGACAGAATATGGTAGAATCACAACAATTCGGGCGCGATGATCCCCCCCCCCCTTCACTTCTGTATTGCCTATAATCCTGTTCAGCATGTGTGCATGCTTTGATAGCAGCTAGGTCTGTGGAGTGTCTCGTGTCTCCAACTACATGTGCATGGACATGTACAGTTGCGCTCACTGAAACCCGACCCAACGTGCAAAGCTGGCGCCCTGGACCAGTTCCGATTCCATCACTGTAATTGTACATGTGTACGTCCAGCCGCATTCGTGCCACTTCCAGGGCGTCAAGGGCCGTGTAAGTTGAGGGCGCCAAATATGCACTCCGGGTCGGATTTCATTGAGCGCAACTGTACATGTGTATGAATGCCTTTCCTAATTCTTCTATTTTGTTCTGTGCTTTTCATCTAAACTACATGTATAAGGTGGCCCTTTCTCTGAGTGAGGTTCTCGTTCTTCGGGTTGTCTCTTTGCTTCGGTCTTCAAGTCGATTTCAGTGGCCTATGTTACCTTGGCTCTCCATCCGAGTTCATTTTTAATAGATCTACATCATGAATGCCCCCTTCCATGTAATTTTATTTTTTTCATTGATGATTCGATGTAATGCTCATTTCGAGAATTGGGGTTTGGATTAACAATTGTCTTTTCACTCACAAAGCGACTGTTCAGTACATGGGGTAGTGGTCTACCAGAGCAATCACACTCACGATCACACTTCAACTACCACGAGGAAAAACAAAGACCACGATGGCAGGTTCAACAGAGTTGTGCAGAACAAGAGCAAATGCACGAAAATATTTGTGAGTGAAAAATACGTTTTTTGCACTCTTTCGCTACGCTCAGCCGTGAAAAAACAAAACTTTTCCTTATGATTTTTGCTTTTATTGATTTGGAATTGCCTTCTGGGTTGCTTTTCTTTGCATCTTCTTGATGCTTACAACTTGTAACTTCGTGTTCTTTCAGACACAGAAATGCATGTTTTCCCCTTCAGTTCACGCTGCTTCTGTCTCCCACGTCTGGTATTTGGGATCAGGTCTCAGTGAAGGAGTGTTCTCTATATCGTAGAGTCACGTATTAAAGCCTGTCTCATATAGAAGCCTGATTTTCAAGATACATGTACGCTGTTGGCACATAAGCCTGTTTTAGTGTTGACATACATGGAAATACCTGTCTTGTATAGAAGCGTGTCTCATATACATGTAGAAGCCTGCAAAATGTCCCCAAAAAAGGCCATATAAGCCGCGGCTTTAATACACGACTTTACGGTATTTCAAGTTCAAACTAACACCTAATCCATGCCTGACATACTTGCAGATTTACGACTCATCACTATCATTAAACAAATTCTTTTATTTATGGATTCCCCAAAGGCCGAGGTCTAAGTCGAGGGGGGCTCCATTCATGGCTTACTGGGAATATACTGAAGTATCTGTAAAATTATTACAAATATTACACAGCAATGAATCAAACAAGTCTCATTCCGCTGTAACTACGAGTTTCGTGTCAAAACACATCATCAGACAGCATATGACCAAGACTAACAATCACTAGAATACATATACGGAGAAGGGGAGAAGGGGGCAAAGGTGATAGAGGTACATTTCAATAGCGCGAGGAAAAGGGATGACAAAATCAGCGTGATTATAAGAGGAACAAGATGTTGAGAGTATAATAGCCAGGGTAGAGAAACAGCGCGATTTTCTGGCAACACATCAGTACAGATTTGTGCTGCATTGTTACACATCACATTGTGACCTAGGGTGGTAATAAAAGGTGATGGGGATTGCGTTGTGGGAATCACTCACGCTAGGCAAGGGGGTGACTACCACACCCGCCAAGGCATCGGAAAACCGGCGACAGAAGCCAAGACCCGCCAAAGCGCGTGAGCCATGACCCTGGGGAGTGCTCACCATTCCCGCGCCCCGCGGAACCCAGCCCCGACCGCCACCTCCCTAGTCCCGACATAAATAGATTGAGAAGAGGAAGGGTTATAACAAATGCGTACTGTAGAAATCAGCCATAACATTCGTTACTATGTTATAGAAACTCTGGAAGGAATGAAACCAGCGGGTTCGAAGTGGGTGTTGGCAAAGATGGTACGGAGGCGAGACACAAAACAATGACTATTTGGGGTGGTTCTAATGTCAGTGGGGAGAGAATTCCAGGTGGCAGCGGTAACAAAGAGGAAAGTGGCACGCGAGTAGTTGTTCGTCCTGGCAGGCGGGACAAGTTGGAGAGGGCGCCGAGCGCTGGTGGAGAGACGATCGCCCTGCTCCATAAGGGCAGTGGTCTGGTGGTGGACCAGGTGATGGAGCTCCCGGAGGCACTGGATGTGTCGCCTCCATGCCAGACTGGGCCATTGGAGGTGCGGGAACAGAGATGCCTTCGGTTCAGTAGCGGAAGGAAACACACTGTACTCTCTCAAGACGACTCGTGCCAATCTGGCTTGCAGACGCTCAAGGACCGCCGATTGGGATGCGGACAGTTGGAACTGCCACAGCAGCGAGGCGTATTAAATGGTAGGTCGGACATAGCCAGTATAAAGCCGGTTTGTAACTTCCGGCGTTAGCGGCTCGACATGTGAGCAAGTACATGTAGTACCACGCGTTTGCTACATTCGGTTGTGATTGTTTCGATGTGGCACTGGAAGTTGACGTGGCTATCAATTTGCACGCCGAGATGGCGGTGCGTGTCGACGGTGCGCACTTCTTTCTGGTTCATTCGCAGGGGCCCGATATTTTGAGGGTCCGGTCCCTTGGTACGAGGGGAGGACGTCATTTGGAAAGACTTGTTGTTGTTGTTGTTGTGTTTATTTTAGTTCGCAAACCAAACGGGCAGATCTGCCCAATGAAAAGGTGGCGAATGCAGATAGAAAGCAGTAATAAATGAAATTGGGGACTGATGTAATTAGGGTAGAGGTGGAGAAAAACTAAGCCAGCTGATCATCAAACAGGACGTTTGGTACTCTAGGTACTAAGGCCAGTAAGTGTGTGCGGGATCATGCTGGCGCGGAACTGGCGGAGCGTGGAGATGGCACGTATATCGCCGGGTAATGTGTTCCACAGCTGGGTGCCCCGGAACGCGAGGCAACCCTTGCCGAACCTGGTGGAAACTGGCGGTTGGCGCAGACCCATGGTGGAGTGCAACCTAGTTGGGCCAGCTGACGAAGGAACTAGGAGGGCTTGCAGTTCAGAACTTGCGTGCTCATTCCGAGACCTCCAGACCAGAACGATGAACTTCTGCCTGAATATCTCGGATACTCTGTAGATGTCCAATTGCAGCAGGAGGGTACGCGCGGAGGTGTGATGCGAGAGTCCGAAAACCGCCCTTGCCGCCCGATTCTGCATGACTTGTAGCCGATCCAATTGGTTGGCAGTAAGAAGCGGGGAAAACGCATTGGATCCGTACATCAGGTCAGACATGATGATCGCTTTAAAGTAGAGAACTCGGCTCTGATGAGTCAAGCAGCGACGCAACCTCCATAGTGCTCCGATCCTCTGGGCCAGTCGAGCGGTGCAGCGATCAACATGGGGCGTCCATGACAGATCCGAGTCGAGGAGCACTCCAAGATACCTGGCCGCAGTAACGACAGGAATCGGCGTTTCATGACAGTTTACATTGATCGTATGCTGGGGCTGCTGAGGCTGCCTGTTGGGGTATACAGGGATCACGTGGCTCTTGGCTGCATTCAAAATGAGACCACGGGTCTGCAACCAGTCAGCAAGTGCAGAAACCGAGGCCGATAGCATAGCAGATACCGTGTCCAGGGATGTGCTGCTGCTGATCAGCGCAATGTCATCGGCAAATTGAACTGATGAAGACTGGTTAGCTATGGTTGGAACTTCGCGGGTGTAGACACTGAAGAGGATCGGTCCTAGAACAGAACCTT